GCTTGTGCTTCTTTTCTTGGCGCCGCTGCGGGAGCACTGACACATTGAACACTGGCGATTGAGCAACAATTTCCATCTTCGAACTGACCTCTCCATTCTCTCTCGCTGCTCTGTCGTGCGCTGCGCCATCCCATCTCGCATCATCCGAACGCCTCCTCAGCCGGCGCACCGGTTGTCCCCCCCCTCCCCGTCCCAAACCTCGACAACTACCCCTCGTCGTCTTCGCCTCCTCCAACATCAGATCGAAATCTCTCTATGTCTTGACGCCACCGACGCTCCGAATTTCCCTGGTCCCCCGACACCCCGATAGCCCGATACCCAAAACCTATCAACCCCACGATCCAGGCCGCGACGAGTGGTGCTTGAGCAGCTCCAAGATACAACCGACTGGTCAAAATGGCGACATCGGCTCATAGGCCCGAGGTGGGCGATGTCCTGCTGGTCATCCGTAAGTTGCGAAACCCATCCCTCCCCCTCCCCCCGCCCCCCAACAACAATCTTGTAATGGTGAGATGAGCTGTGGGTTTCGGTTCTGGGGTGCCTGATTGTCGGGTATTGGCCCCTTGTTGAACGAAGCAGACCAGCTAGGCGAGCCATATCCTGTTCTCCATCATTACCCGGCCTCGCCTATTGTGCATCATATCGATGGTTCCGGAAGCTCGTGTTGTTGGTAGGAGGAACGGATTTCATGTTTTGGCGACTAACTCATCTCTTGCGATCTACTCACAGATGACTTCATTGCCCGAAGCTCTGACGAGTTGACCCTTGCCAAGGGTGACCGGGTCGAACTAATTGAGAGGGACGATGAATTTGGTGATGGGTGGTTCTTGGGAAAACACCTGGTCAATGGCAACAGTGGTCTCTTCCCGGAAGGTACGTCCGTCACTGTCGCGCCGTACCCTCCCCGTCCTGGGTCGACATGGATGCTAGCATAGACTATTTGCCCGCCCGACCCAGAACACCGTCAACATCACGGAAGTCTGGCGTCGGTTCTGCTGCTCTATAATTGCCGGCTCACCATCCTACTATGTCTGCTAACTACCTCTCCGGTGTAGTCTATACTCGTCCAGCTCCCAGGAGTACCGAAGTTCCTGCTCCCCAGGCAGCCACGAAGCCCGCACAACTACAGGCTCCGCCCGAAGATCTTCTTACGCCGACAGCGGCCAAGTCACCACAGTTTCCTGCCACGTCGACCGAGCCAGCAGGAGCCGCGTCACCACCGCCGCCCATCCAAAAAGCCCCGACGAATTCGGTCGCGCTGACCTATAGTTCCGCTAGCGCACCTGCTTCTGCTACCGTGCCGACCAAAAGCCCACCAATCTCGTCCGGCATCGGGTCGTTCTCGCGACTGATGAACACGGGTTCAGACAGCCACGTCCTCCATGAAACCCTCAATGTCATCGACGAGCACATAGACGACCTGCGCTCTGCTCCAAACAATGGCGGTGGCTCCCGACATGCGAACGATTCTGGAAGTGAATACAGCTCACACATAGACCATCGGCTGTCGTATATTGCGGGCGAGGAGACGGACGAAGAAGAAGACGGGGCCCACTCCCGTGCTGAGGTCGAATCTTGGACACCTGACGACGTCGCCGAATACCTCTTCACGGCAGGAGTAGAGAAACATCACTGTGAAGTTTTCCGGGATCAAGAGATCTCCGGTGAGGTGCTTCTTGCTATGGACCAAACATCGCTCTTCATCAAGGCCTTCGATCTTGGCTCTGTGGGCCGCAGGTTGAAGACATGGCATAAAGTAAAGACGTTACAGGACGAGGTTAATGGGCAGGAGTTTACAAGCCGGCCTACCACCCAGAATTACGGAAGCGAGGCAGGGTCTGAGGGTGCACGACGGACGAGGAGCAGGAACAACACAGTGACGGGCTCCCTCAGCAGGTTGCCCCCGATTGATGACCGGCCTCTGTCCCAGCAAAAACGTCGATCGGTTGCTTCTACACCCAAGCTTGAGCCCGCACTCATGAACGGGTCCCCCGTCTCTCCAAGGGCGATCTCCGATAGCCCATCACGCCCGAACCACGAGCAGCAACGACCCTCTGCCGCCTCAGTTCGCGATCTGCACTATTCTAGGAGACACTCCTCGTCGACGGACTTCAGGCTTCCGGGAACACTCCTCGATAATCCTGCCTCACCACCGAAGTTGATGAGTAGTGGGACATTCCCTCTGCAAGATGCAGCGCATAAGAAGCAACCGTCTTTCGATAGGAACTGGACACTTGGAAGCGCCGCAGCCTCGAGTAGGCCGCTCTCTGGATTCGGGCTCCTGCAAGCAGAGCCCGACCTTCAGGATTCTGCTGTCGATCTCGATCGCGGTTACTTCTCTAGTGCAGAAGGTGGCCCCAAGACTCGGAACTACCTCAAAAAGCGCGACAGTGTAGCGACACATTCTCAACACCCGAGCTATACTGAAGAGCAGAGGGTCAGGAGCGCGACTGCTATGGCACGCCAGTCGAGGGGCGGTAGTGTCGGCTCGATACGCCTGGAGCCAATGTCGCCTGCGGCTCAAAAATATTACGGCGTGGCAGCTTCGGCTGGTGATCGTCGTAGGACCTTGTCGACAAACACGCTCGAGTCACTGCGTCCTGCTCTATCACCTGCAGACATGCCTCCGACAGTGACGAGACTCGAGGTCAACCAGCTCGATCATCTTCAGCCACTATCATCTTCGCCGGTGTCTTTGATGCATAAGCCCCTCAAGGTGCCGGGGTTGAGGGCTATATCTGATGCTGTAACAGGCCAGGAGCGAGCAAAGATTGCCCCAGCACTCGAATCACCACTGCAATCACCAGCTAGAACCGGGTCGAGCACTCCATCGGCAGGCCTCAGCTTCGAGGATTCTGCTGACACCGCGAAGAGCCCGGGTAACCTTGGGACAGCAGGGAGCCGCAGCAGCAAGAAGAAGGGCAAGAAGGAGACCAGTGCTTATACGCGTGGACTGTTGAAGATCTCCCCGCGTGAGGCGATCGTTGATGCAGACTACAGTGGTTGGATGAAGAAGAAGAGCAACAGTCTCATGACGACATGGAAACCGAGACTGTTCGTTCTGAAGGGGAGACGGCTAGCTTACTACTACTCGGAAGACGACGAGCAAGAGAAGGGCCTAATCGACATATCCTTCCACCGCGTGTTGCCAGCGGACAATGAGAGGTTGACAGGCCTTCATGCTACGCTCACGGGCGCCTCCAATACTCCTACGATGCCCGCCCACAGCAATGTCCAGACTGTCGCAGCCAGCGATGCCGATGCCGACACAACCTCCTCATCAGACTCCATCTTCATCTTTAAGCTTGTGCCTCCACGAGCCGGGCTCTCCCGTGCAGTCAACTTTACCAAACCGACCGTGCACTACTTTGCCGTACCGAATATCAAGCAGGGTCGTTCGTGGATGGCCGCCCTTATGAAGGCGACCATTGATAGAGATGACACGCAGCCGATTGTCACTAGCTACCAACAAAAGACCATCTCGCTCACCAAGGCCCGCCAGATGGCTCACAGACCGCCGGCACTGATGAACATGGACGAGAAGATGGAGGCAGCTGAGAGGGCAAGAGAAGAAGCCGACAAAGACGCAGACGGCGGCGGCCTGGGTATATACGACGGCAATAGGGAGGACAGCGCGATCGCTGGTTTGGAAAAGTTGGGCATGTCTACGGTCGAGAGCCTGGGCAAGAGAGGATTCCTGTTCGCGGAGAACGGCGAGGTGTCGCCCGCAAATATGCCTCAGAGTGCCTAGGCAACGCCTCGTGTGGTTGGAGACGTTTTACGTCAAAGCTGGCGACTACGACTGCGCCCTAATTGTCGGGTGGCACATCAATGGCTCGATACCTCCAGAGATTCCTCAATGTCTTTGAAAAGAATTGCTCTTCTTTGAACATCCTTGAACATGTCTCCGGTTCACGAATACCCATTTTCCTACCATCACTATTACCACCGTTACTACTTTATATACCCCATTCGTTTATTTCTTTCTCTTGGTATTGCACACTACATCTTTTGTTTTGCGGCGTGGCCATGGCTTCCACCGGCAAGTCTGGCCCGTCTTTTCATTCCCCGTTGTACACCGGGCTACAGACACTGGACCCGCGGTACAAAAGGGACCCCGCTTCAAGCCGGACACTTTGATTTAGCTGGTTAGGGGATGACTTCATGATGCTCTTAATGAGCCGGGACGACTTAGGTACAGGGGCCACCGGCGAGGCCCCGGATCCGGGGTAGGGATTTAGGGAAGAAGGGAGGGCAGTAAGAGAGAGAGACACGCAAGATGAAGCTGTGCAAGGCGGGAGCAAACCTAGAGCAATATGGTAGCGCAGGTCATTGTGTACTGGATGTGCCATCCTATGCACGATTGATCGGTTGATCGATCTATCCCGTTGCAATATGAAAGTGTTCATCGTGTCGAAGAATGGTCCATGCTCGTCCTGATGAAAATGACAGTTTCCAAGAGTCCGATTGCATGTTTGGCAGGGCTCTGTTGTATTTCACTGATCTCGTGGTATCATCCACGAGTACCAGGCAGGCAGAATTCTGTTGAAAGGGGCAAGGGGTCGGGCTGTCTGCGGGCAGCAGCATACGAGGTTCGTGACGAATGAAGGTTGTCCCGCTATACTGAGCTGTAGTCAGGAGAAGCCTGGTTGCTGACCCACAGATATCGTGCTTTCGGTGGGCATCAAAGCTCTCTACTCGCTCCCTATCCCATTGTGTAGATTTCATTGACTGCCCAGGTCGTCAGTCGCATGGCTCTCAACGGGTCTAGACCGTCCCCAGGCGTCCTCGAGTAGCCCTTGCTGTCCAAGGTCTTTGTCGCATACCCGTGGACGTGAGTGGACACGGTCTGGTCAGGGCCAAAACGGAAGAATGCACCCCAGGACGAAGATTCTGGAGAATGGAAGGGGAAAAGAAGGAAGGAAAAGAAAAGGAAGAAACAAAGGGAGGAGGTTGGGGAGAGGAGAAAGGCCAAAAAGAAAAGGGAAATGCCAAAAAAGTCTCCGGAGCCGGATTTGAACCGGCGACATATGGATATCATATTTAACAATTACAGTCCACCGTTCTGCCAACTGAACTATCCAGAGAGCTGAATTGTTGAGGAGATAAATTCTTGTCATTACTTGAGGGGATGACCATATTGACCCCGGCTTTTCCAGTCAGTAATTATCGTACCAACCATCACCAGCCACTGGTAGGTAACGCATCCGCTAATGCATCCGGTATGACAATCCACTCAAAGTCGAATGTGACACTATAATCATGTTTCAAAGTTCGTAAGGAGTTTTGCTTGTAGTCTTGGCGGATACTTCGTTCAAGCTTGCAGATAAGATGAAGATGAATAGTGGTGGACGTCTAATTACAGTCGCCATCAACGGACGGTGGCCGTATAGGCGTTGGTGTTGGAACCCACGAGGTGTAACGGCTCTGCAACCCGGCAGTGACCTCGGTGCCGAGGTAACATTATAACATGGTGATCAATTGTGTGCAATAGCCACTTACCTACATACTAAGTACCTAGGTAGGTATAAGTATGTATGCTTGCTTCTCCAACTCGTACGCAGCCCATCGTCAACTACATCACCCCTCTCCGGAGACTGAACTAAACCCCACCCGCTCACCACATACCCATCACAAACAGAACCTAAATTAACCACAGAGACAACCATGACGGCTATCGATGCACAGCTCGCAGAGGAGGTCAAGGCCATCAAGGCCCTGATCCAGAGCTTCTTCGACGCCATCAACGCCGCAGACACAAAGGCCCTCCAGTCCCACTTCGCCCCCTCGGCAGACCTCACCATCATCCGCCAGGACCCCCCACTACCCCACGGGGCGCCAGGCAGCCCCGGCGCAGGGGCAGCGACCCGGGCCGAGGAGGAGGAGGAGGAGGAGAAGGAGAAGGAGGAGAGGCTCACCGTCGTGACCCGGACGACGATTGAGAAGTTCGTCAAGCTGCTGGACGACGACAAGAAGAGGCGGGAGGGCCGGCCCGGCCCTGTCCCCGTCCTCCGCGAGACGCCGGACCTCGACGCCACCGCCGTCCGGGTCGACGCCCTCTTCGCCGCCGCCTGGGGCCCCTTCGAGGTCACATTCGACGGGGTGCTGCACCACTACGGCACCATCGTGTACACGCTCGGCCGCGTGGGCGCCGGGGCCCGGGGGGAGGGGTGGAGGGTGGAGGGCCTCACGCAGAGCTACAGGCGGACGCCGGGCTGGCCTGGAGGTGGCGAGGGTCCGGGGGCCGTGTGAGATCGGGGGTTTGTCATGGTTGGTTGTTTCGGTTGTCTATTTGTATGGCTGGCGGCTATTTGACATTGTGGGAGGTATAAGTAATGTATTGTGGAGATGTTCACTGCTGTGTGTGTATTATCTATCACATAAGGTGTTTCACCTACGTACTCTTCTCATTCGGTTGGGGGGGGGGGCTCCCGACGCAGGAATCTCTGGCCGGAATTCATCCTCAAGCTTCGCTGTTTTTGACCCATCGGCTTCTTTTCGTTCTGGAGCCGAGAGACATGTCGCTGGCCTGTTTCCCAACGCCCACTTGTTCGGCCCATCGGGTCAGACTTTCACGAATCAGCCTACCCATTTCGGTAAGGCCGAGCCAAGAAATACGCGTACTACTGGTCTAAGACTGTAGATCTATCTATGCGACGGACATCTATATACTGTACTAATAAAAAGAGAGCATCTGCGATCCCGGAAGACGCCTCGCTAAACGATATGCTTAGACGCGCGTCCACCTCAAGTAGTGTGGGGACCACCATCGTCGGACCGGTACAGGGGTATCGAGATTGTGAATAGGATACTTTCCCCTATTTCTCGGATCGTTCTGGACTCAAAACTTTATCGATTCCCTTCCCCTCGTTTTAATGCTGCTGATGTATATACACATAATGAAGTCTAAGAGAATCCTCGAGGGTTGAGTTGTGATATATATATATACACTTTATATGTATCACCATGAAGCCCGCCGCAGTCTGGAGTCACGCTCCCGTGCTAACAGCGACCGGCGGCCGCGCATGGTGCCGACGCGCCCTCCGATCGCCGGCGCTATGGGTCGCCATCCTGGTCGCCACCTCTGTCGCCCTGGGCCTCGGGGCCGCGGCGCTGTGGAAGAACGTCCTCAGCCGGCTGCACCTGCACCGCGACCTCTCCTGGTACGGGCTGGGCCTGCACGGGCTCGCGCCGTCCGTCCGGTACGAGTCCCTTGGCGCGCGCGCGCCGAAGCTCGAGTTCCCGCGCTGGGACTCCCGGTGCAGCCAGGACTACGTCTTCTTCGGCTGGCGGGGCCACGAGGTCGAGGAGCCGGGCGCCGTCATCCTCGACGCCCAGGGCGGGCTGGTCTGGCGCCAGACCGGGTCCGACGTCGACCAGAACGACGTCAAGACGCAGGTCTACCGGGGGGAGACGTTCCTGACCTTCCAGATGGACGGCCCGGGCGGGGACCAGTCGCAGGGTTCCTGGTACATGCTGGACGAGTCGTACACCGTCAGGTACCGGATACGGCCACATGACTTCCCCCACGCGGACATGCACGAGTTTATGATCACGGGCGACGACACCGCCCTGGTCATAACGACCGTCCCCATCCCCTACGACCTCAGGGGCGTCGGCGGGCCGGAGCACGGATGGCTCGAGAACTGCTACTTCCAGGAGCTCGACGTCGAGACCGGGGCGCTCCTCTTCCAGTGGTCGTCGGCCGACCACTTCCCGCCCGAGGCGACCATGGAGGCGCAGGACAACTGCCTCACCGACCCGGGCGCCAGGTTCGCCGGCTGCGGCGAGGCCGAGGACTCGGCCTTTGACTACTTCCACCTCAACAGCGTGCAGAAGGACTCGCGGGGCAACTACCTCATCTCGGCCCGCAACACCTGGTCCATCAGCTACGTCGACGGCGGGGACGGCGCCGTCCTCTGGACCCTCGGGGCCGGCGCGGTCAACGACTTCGTGGACGTGTCCCCCGACGGGGGCGCGGCGACGAGCTTCTCGTGGCAGCACCACGCGCGCTGGGTCGAGGAGGGCAGGACCATCTCCTTCTTCGACAACCACTACCACCGCGTCGGCGACCCTCCGCGCACCGGCGGCCCGGGCGGCGAGAGCGGCGGCCGGGTGGTGGACATCGATCTCGCCGTCCTGAACAATGACGACGACGACGACGACGACGACAGCGACAACAAGAACAAGAACAACACGGTCAGGCTCCGCGCGGCCTACAATCACCCACACCACATCAGGCCCGAGTCCCAGGGCAGCATACAGCACCTGGGCGGCAGCAACGGCAACGGCGGCGGCTACATGGTCGGGTGGGGCAGCAGCGGCGCCTTCACCGAGTTCTCGGCGGGCGGGGAGGTCCTCTGCGACGCGCGGTTCGGCGCCGAGGCCTTCCTCGAGTTCTCGCCCGTCAGCTCGTACCGCGTGTTCCGCGGGGCGTGGGTGGGGAGGCCCGCGTACCCGCCCAGCGCCGCCGTCGTCGGCGGGAGCGTGTATGCCAGCTGGAACGGGGCCACCGAGGTCCGGAGGTGGCAGGTGGAGAGGCGGGTCGGGGATGGTGTTGGTGATGGTGTTGGTGATGGTGATGGCCAGGGGTCACAGTCACAAGTCGTCGAGGTCGTCGCGCAGCAGTTCAGAGATGGGTTCGAGACCGAGATCCGCCTGCCGAGGGGGATGGCGGGCTCGGCGATCCGCGTCGTTGCCCTTGGTGGGGAGGAGGCTGATGAGGTGCTCGGTGCCTCGAACTTCCTAGAGGTTCCGGGCTGGAACACCTGGGGATTGACAACGCCATATTCCGTCATGATCCAGGCCGGTGTCGCGGTGCTTATAATATTGCTGTGTGTAGCCGTCGTTGGGTGGATATATGCCCGGCGGCGGCGGAGACAGATGTCAGGGTACGAACCGGTGAACGGACAGCAGGGAGGCTGGAAACTCGAGGACATGCCACGTTCGGATACACATTATAGACTGAGTGGCGAGACATCGCTGGCAAGCCCGTCGATAAGAGGGGATGGACAGACGTTTGGACGAGATGCGTACGACACATGAGAATGTGGGAGGTCTTTGATTTTGCATTGCATAGCGGCGTAGACAGCATAATTACATATTTCGCACTCATCCTTTCCAAGCGTGCTTCTTTCTACCTTGTCACCGTGCTGTCACGGGTCCGCTGCAGAACTGATGGAAATAAGTCTGGTCTTGTCTTGAGTGCTACTCGTGTACCGATATACCACTGTCTCTGGTGCCACGGTTCCAGAGGCAAAGAGGCCTCGAACAGGCGTCTCGCCTTGGTGGATATATATGGAGGTATGGAGAGGGTGCCAAAGCGCTTAATCCAGCAGGCATACCAAGAGAGACTCAATCACGAAACCAGGTAGGCTTCTTGAATCCACATCATGATCACTTGTAGCGGCTACGGTGAGCAGCCCCAAGCCTGTTATTTAGTATCTGGTTCTACCGGTATATGGAAATGTGTAAGACCGACAGACCACAGAATCGGACTGCAGGCCTCCCAAGATGTATCTATGTATAAGTATGTAACACGTCAACAATGCCATCATTCCCGGTCCCCAGTCCTCCGTCCCCCCTACACTGCCCTACCTATCTCAACGATCAGCAGCGTTGCTTCCTTGATTTGACAACCGTTGCACTTCTACACTATGAAGGACCCGTGAAGGACCCGTAATGAACCCTTCGTGCAGGAAGGAAGAAGAGTGACCTCAGAGCAGGATTGAAGCATTGGGGGCAGGGGTACAGAGGTACAGGGGTCCAAGGGGGGGTAGTCCAACCCCACATAAACGGCCAAGACACCCTCCTGGCCAATAGTCTTACATGAATCCGCAACCAACACGTCAGACGCTCACAGGGGTCTGCCCTTGTTTCCAGGGGGTCCCAAGCTTGTAGTCACAGCAGCCTGAGCAGCCTGAGCAAAGCCTCCCGAAACCTGATTCCCCCGTATGGTAAAGTACTTGAGTATTCACTTAGGTATAAGTACCTAGGTATGTATGGGGCATCATCGCCGTGCGTTGTGAGTGGTCACGATGGGGATCGGGACTTTACTGACAGCAGCAAGCACATGAGCTAGCTGATC